TAAGATAGAAGTAATTAAGTTTTTCCGGGAAGTGATAATCTTTGAAACCAAAAAATGAAACTATTTGCATGCCAATATATGTTATTTTTAGCTGAATGTGGAGTAGTGTTGTTTCATTCATAAATGACTTTTTTAAATGTCCCTTGGACATCCTGAAATCATATACTTCGATTAAGTATTTAAAATTTAAATTCGTTGGGTTCTTGGGAATTGATAAGCCACATTGATTTGTTTTAACCTGATTTTTTTAATCCCAAGTTGTTGGGAATTGAGTAAAGACACACAACGAAATGACTTACTCCACATCTAAAAAATGTATTTAATTTGTTGTATTCCAGATTATTCTATTCCATTGAATTTATTTTATATAAACCACCCTCATTTGTAACATAATGTAGCATCATATATAACATAACATAGCACATAATATAACATAATATAGCATCATAGAAATGAAGTTGAAGCAGATCAATGTGAAGGCACCTTTATTTTTTTCACTTACAATTTGTTTGAAAATCGGCGCTTATCTCTTTACTTATGAATCAGTACGACCAAAAAAGTTTAGAATTGAAAATAACACATGCATAATAATATTTTTGATTTTATCAAATATGGAATGGAAAACATAAATAAAAAATGTTATCGGGGTTTTGAATAGTGTAGAGTGTCATTCGTTATAGGACGTAAGAAGTATACTTTTGTTGGTACAAATTGGTAACCCATGCAGTTGCTCTTCATTGAATATAACTTTTCAATGTTAATAGTCGCTTTGCACGACTTAAATTAAACAATGTGTACATTGACTCCACACGTACAATACAATTGGATTTATTGAAATTGAATCCAAACAATGACTCTAGGACATATTTGGGTTCTCATAAGGTTTGCAAGTCAGATTGCAATTTGGATTTTGACAATGTTCCCTACATTTTGTCAGAAGTCTTGAATAATGTATGTACCTTGGGTGTTCCAAATCATAAACTAAACTTGAAAGTTAGCACATCAATAATATTGTTGAGAAATATTATAGATCACATTGATTTGTGATAATGATGGACATCGTACACCCTCCACAAGTAATATTATTTATAAAGAAGTTTTTTTACAATTTGTAGACGCCTTATGAATATGTTGTGAAATTATTTGTATTTAATTTTAAGATGTGGTACAATACTTAATTTTATTCAAACCTCTATTTATATAGTTAACTTATATTTAATTTACTTAAACATTGATAATTCAAATATTTGTAATTTATATTTCGTAACATTTTTCTTTCCGTGCAACGCACGGGTATGAATCTAGTTCAACAAAAACGTTTGCATTTTTTCGAAAAAAGATGGAACGCTGACTCCCCCACACCTCGACACGATAAGATTGTGAGAGGGTACGTAAATCATGATATAATTTCAATATAGTTCTTAGAGAAGTCGTCACGTGCTCGGTGCGCACCAGGATGGGAAGCAGTGGCGGAGCTAGGAGGTCACTAGTAGGGGGGCACACCTCGAGGGTCCAGGGGCAGCGGCCCCGGATTTTTTTAAAAAAGAAAACATAAAATGATTAAAAAAAGTATTTCAAAGAATCAATTTTTTTTAAAAAAATAACAATAAAATGTTATTATTATTAATTATACAAAATGTTAGTTGTTTTTCAAAATTACAATATGGTTAATTAATTGTTTATTACTGAATAACAAATTTGTCCGAAATTATATGGAGTAATTCTTATAATAAAATAACAAAAATAATAATAACCCAATTGAATCAGAGGTGTATTTATGTAGACCTTTATTAATAAAATAAAAATATTATTAATTGAACACAAAACAAAGTAATTGAATATTTAATAGACTTAATTATCTCTCAAAACACACATCAATAAATGTTTACTCCGTAATGAATAAAGCAAAAAATATGGAGTACCAAGCATTTAAGAAACCGGTGAAATGAGATTAGGATTGGAGAAAATGCTTAAAAGAGCGGCCCATTTGTATTAAAACCCTATTTACGAGCCCAGAGCCTGAAACCTGATTTATTTTTTCACAAAACGTTGTCGTTTAATTTAGTTAAAAAACGATACAGTAATTCTCCGTAAAGCCATTTTGCAGCGGAAAAAAAGCAGAGACAAAAACTAGGTCTAGCCGTCCAGGGGAAGTTCAAGCGCGCACCGGAGGGGCACAATGGCGCCGGTGACTACTGCGCCTGTAGATGACTCTTCACCGAACCATCGCCGGGGGGCACGTGCCCCGGCAGCCCCCCATCTTCCTCCGCCCCTGTTGGGAAGAACATTTCCGGACGGAGGGAGTATATATTTTCTAAATTTTCATTGCTAAATTAAATACACCCCCACATTTGACTAAATCCACCCCAATTATAAAAATTAGACAAGTACATCCTTAAGCTAAGTGCACATGTCCACTTTCCTTTTTACACTTTTAGGGAAACATAATACCTTAGAGCATTCACAATGGCAAGGCAATGTCTTGCCTTGCTATGCCATGTCAGCAAATTTCACTCAAATCATGGCATTCCATGGCTATTCCACCCCACTTTTCATTCCATGTGCAAGGCATAACTCTCTCATTTTTTATTTTTTTTTTAATATTTTTAATATTTGTAATTTTTGAAAAAAATATTTTTTAAAAGAAGTAAACATATTTTAATAATAAAATCGATTTTTAAAATAATTCTTTTATAATTAAAAATCATTAAAAAGTGCAAAAATAGACAAAAACAACGACTTGCCACTGTATGTTACGACACTCCACTCATTTGCCACACGGTGACTGGGTTACTTTTTATTGGTTGAAATAATCCATGTCAGCGTGTGGCATTTCATTTTTGCCTTGCCAATGGTGCAAATGTAGCAAAGAGGAGTAGATTTAGCAACACCCTATTATTATTGTCACAACTTTTATACTCGCTTTGTTTTCAAAAATGTTTCACCTTTGCGATGATATGGTGATTAAGAAAATTGAAACTATGTAATTTATAGTGATACAGAGGGAGAGAAATTAGAAAACCATAAATTTTTTTATAAAGCGAAAGATATATTTTGGAGGAGAAATGCTAGGGGAGAAAGACCAAAGTTGGTTTAAAACATTAAAAATATACCAAAATAGGACTTTCATGTTTTTATTCCTGAAATAGAACTTAAAATGCATTTACATTATCAAACATGGTCATGTACATTATCAAAAAGTAAAGTAATGTGCACATGTAAAGTGTCACATTGCCACAGTGCAAAGTCCTATTTCGAGAAAAAACATGAGAGTCCTATTTTGATACTTTTCTCTATGTTTTAGTCCTATTTAGCATGATTTCTAAAATGCTAGTAGCGAATATAAATGATACAAATTTCATAAACTTGTCAATTGTAAATTCAAAATTTAATTCTTAAATTATTTGAGACTACTAATTTTAATGAAGTCGTCCACAAGAAGTAAATTTGTAAAATTTGTATCATTTTGTTTGTGAGAACGTAACCCAAAGGGGGAGACCCGGGAGAAACTTGGGCCCGAGGCCGAGACGGTGGAGATTGCACTTCACCCGGGTGATTCTTCAAAGATGGTCAGACTTGGAGCAAACCTCCCAGAAGATCTCAAGGCGGATATTACACGACTCCTCCAAGAATAAGCGGGCATATTTGCATGGAGCGTGGCAGATATGCCTAGGATTGACCGCTCAATCATCTGTCACCGGCTTGCAGTAAGGGATGGAAGTCGACCGGTACGCCAGAAGAAGAGGTACCTGGCCAGTGACCGGCGAGACTTCGTCAAGAAAGAGGTGAAAGACCTCCTCAGTGTTGGTCACATCCAAGAAGTCAAATACCCGGATTGGCTGGCCAACGTTGTCCTTGCTCCCAAGGGCGACACATGGAGGAGGTGTGTGGATTACACGGACTTAAACAAGGCTTGTCCGATGGATTCGTACCCCCTTCCCAATCCAGATCAAATGGTGGACGAAACTGCGGGGTGTGAACTCCTAAGTTTCGTGGATGCCTTCAAAGGCTACCACCAAATCTACATGGCAAAAGAAGATGTGGAGAAGACGTCATTCCTCACACCCGAAGAAACCTATTGTTATCGTGTGATGGAGTTTGGCTTGAAGAACTTTGGGGCCACTTACCAGCGCATGGTCAACAAACTCTTCAAACCGCTACTGGGGAAGACCATGGAGGCATACGTCCACGACATGCTGATCAAAAGCCAGGTATCTCTCAACCACCCGGCTCATATGCGTGCCACATTCGATATCATGGCAAAATACAACCTATGGTTGAATCCTAAGAAATGCGTCTTCGCGGTTCGTACCAGGAAGTTCTTGGGATTCATGGTGACCAAGAGAGGAATAGAGCCCAACCCAGAAAAAATCCGGGCCATCACTGAAATGCAGGCCCCTACCTCCGTTAGGGATGTTCAAAAGTTGACCGGTCGTCTAGCGGCCCTCAGCCGGTTCCTTTCCCGGTCAGCTGAGAGATCTCTGCCCTTCTTCAAAGTTCTGAAGAAGGCCAACACGTTTGCATGGGACGAAGAGTGCCAGAGGGCATTTGAGGAGCTGAAGGAGTACCTAGTGTCGGATATTGTATTGTCTAAACCCGAAACGGGTGAAACTCTGTATCTGTACCTGGGAATTTCCCCAAATGATGTAAGCTCCGTTTTAATAAGAGATGATGGGGCACAAAAGCCCATTTATTATGTGAGCAAAGCACTAAACGGAGCAGAAAGTAGATATACGGCGATGGAAAAAACAGCCTATGCGCTTTTCATCTCCGCAAAAAAGTTAACATCCTACTTTCAAGATCACCCGGTGGAAGTCTTGACTGACCAACCACTGGGTGCAGTGTTGCGAAATTCAACATCCTCCGGGAGGATGGTGAAATGGGCAATGATGTTAACTCAATTCAACATTGAGTACCGGCCAAGGTCAGCAATCAAAGGACAAGCCCTTGCAGACTTCCTGGTAGAAATGACCGGTCTGACTCCAGACCTACCGGTCAACAAACCCACTGAGCAGTGGTGGGAGATGGCAGTAGACGGGGCGTCTGGTCCTAAAGGGTACGGGGGTGGTATAGTGTTTACCACCCCAGAAGGTTTCAAGATCTACCATGCACTCGTCTTCAACTTCAAGCTGACGAACAACGAGGCAGAATATGAAGCTCTGGCTAGAGGGCTCAGACTTGCCCAAGCCCTGAAAATCAGCCGGGTCAGTATCAGATCTGACTCTAGTCTGATTGTTGGGCAAGTGACCGGTAACATGGAAGCAAGAGAAGGACGAATGACACAATACAAGGACCTAGTGCTTGCCTTGTTGAAAGGCTTCGAGGAATTCAAGATCGCCCAAATCCCCCGGGCTGAAAATGCGGATGCAGACCTTCTCTCCAAACTGACGCAGTGTGCCCTCGAGCATGTTTCAAAACTTGCCCGGGTGGAAATCCTAGATCGAGCCAGCATTGAGAAATTGGAAGTCGCCGCCATAACAGCAGCAAGCCAATCTGACCGGTCAAACCTGGTCGGGGCGGATGACCATTTGATGTACGATCTAATGGAACACTTGATGGATGGGAGCTTGCCAGAACAAGATGACCGGGCAAGAAAAGTGAAGCTCAGGGCACCTCGGTTCCAAGTCCTTGATGGGAAACTGTACAAGAGGGCGTTTGGGGGACCCCTACTGAGATGCCTAACCAACCGGGAAGCTGAGCCAGTCATAGCCGAAGTCCACGAAGGCGTGTGTGCGGCGCATCAAATGTCCCGTACCCTTTCCCAACGCATCATCTTTGATGGGTGTATTCCACCCATGACCGGTCAAAGGGAAAGACCGAATAATTGACCGGTCAAAGAAGTCAAGCTTGAAAGAGAGAGATGAATCGTCAGTAGGAGGATAGATGTTGACCAAAACGTTGACCGGTATACTTCGGGTAGTATACCGGCCGAACTATGCCGACGTCTAATTCATCCTCTGAAGTTAGCAAATCCAACCCCCAAGAACCAACCGGTGCAGTTTTTGAAGATTAGAGAGTGTCGGCAAGGACTTGGACTGTAGCGGCTGGCATTGCTGGGGAATAAATGGAGATGCTGAAGGAATGTTTCTAAGCCAGAACGCGACAAGGGCACGATCCCCCTCACAAGATGACAAAGCAGTTCGAGGATGAAGCCAGTCACCTCGGCAGCGTGCCTCCACGTAGGTGCACGTGGTCCTGTCCCCCTTTGCCTAGTATAAATACGGCTGTAGACCTCTCAGAAGGGGGATCCGAATTCATTCTCTCTAAACTCCCTTGTAAAAGCACCCGTGCATTCTCTGTGATAATATAAATTGGGCTACAGGTGTTCCACCTAAAGTCCTACCTGTCACTCTACGTGTTTTCACCTTTCTTACTTTACCAAATCAAATAAACTATCCTAGACCCGGTCTAGTATAGTTTGACCGGTCAAGTAATTTACACCATCATTTTTTGGTGGGATGAAGTCCCAAAAAGAATATCACATTACACAAAATGAAGTGAATCTTATAATTTTTTAAATTTATTTTACTTAAAAATTGGTATAAAAATAAAAACAAAATTTGGTGGGATGAAGTGTGCCATTTTTTGATAATGTAGGAGTATTATCATAAGTGACCTACTAGATCTCGAAGTTGCGCCATTGGAATTAGATAATATCGATGTAGATAAAAAAGGATTAAGCTATTTGTACATTAAAATTTGTACTCGATTTATACTCCAAAAACATGCACTAACATTTTGTGCTAGTGTGATCTTAGTGTGATGGTTTACATTGACAAAAAATGTCAGTGATTTTTTTTAAGTGAACTAACATTTTATGCCATGTGAACCCTTAAAATGTCGGTGCATTTCTTTGGGGTATAACTTGAAGTCTACTTTTTGGTGTACCCCTTGTATGGCCGATATAAAAAGGGATATGATTATATGATATATTATACTGTATATAGCAAAGAATTTTTCATATTTAGCCTTTTGTTATCAAATATTACATTAATACAAGCTGAGGGGTAGCTTTATAATTAACTTGTTGAAAATGGAGAAACAAAAAAATTATTTTAAAAATAAATAGATACTGATGGTGTAAATTACTTGACCGGTCAAACTACACTAGACCGGGTTGATTCTGTAAAGTAAAGAAAGTAGAAACACTCAGAATGACCGGTAGGACTTTAGGTGGAACACCTGTAGCCCGAATTATATTAAAAACAAAGAATGCACGGTCACTTTTACAAGGGAGTTTAGAGAGAATGAATTCGGATCCCTCTTTCTGAGGTTTACATGCGTATTTATACTAGGCTGAAGGGGGGGCAAGACCACGTGCACCCACGTGGGATCACGCTGCCGCAGGTGGGAGGTGACTGCTTCTGAGCTGCCTTGTCCTCTCGCGGAGGGGGCTGCGCCTTCGTCGTGTTCTGGTTTGGAAAGATGCCTTCAGCATCTCTGCAATTCCAACCACTATAGTCCAAATCCTTTTGGATTCCTCCTGCCGACACTCTCCAATCTTCGGAAACTAGACCGGGTGATCTTTGAGGGTTGGTTTGACTAACTTCGGAGGATGAATTTGGGCGATGGAATAGTTTGACCAGTATACTAACCCGAAGTGTACCGGTCAACTTTCAGGGCAACCAGCCATCCCTTTGCTGACAATTCAGATCTCCCTTTCAAGTTTGACTTCTTTGACCGGTCAACTTTCTGATTCGGATCCTTGACCGGTCATGGGTGAAATACACCCATCAATAAGCCCTCCACTTCACGGTTATGCAATTTTGTCATGAGCGGGAAGTAAAAACTTCTGAAACAAGACTTCAATTTTGAGTTTCAGCTTTTCCCGCCTAAAGATTTCAAAATTCAAATTCGAACTCTGAATTCCGCCACGTGTTGGACACCTGTTGCTGCAACGGTCGGCTGTGGTTTCGTCTGCCAGGGTTATCATTGCGCCGCCTGACGCGGCTCGCCCCCGAGTGGCCACGTCGCCCCTTTCCCTTCACTCCTCGCCTATATAAAGAGTTCCATCCCTCTTCCTTTCTCACTTTTCGCAATTCGTTTCCAGAGCTCCTACCGGTCCATCTTCCTCTTGCCTTCCAGCCCTCCGAGCCAAGTAAGCCTCTTCCTTTTCCTTAGCTTTTTCCTTTCGTTCTTCACTTTTGTTTCCGGTCAATGTCTTCTTCCGATAGTCAAGACATTTCCGCCTCAGATGCCCACGCATCTGAGGAATCCCCGTCCTCTTCTTCGTCGACCGGGTTGTCTTCCCCCGTTTCTAAAACCCGGTCGGTTCCCAACCCAAATATTCCCGAACCGCGGCCTGTAAACCAGATGCCCGGTCAGATTTTTCAAGAGAGGGATGCACCGGTCGAGGACGAACCGGTCCCTTATGACCCTGAAAACGAGTCGTATGAGGAATGGGTGGACCGGCTGGAAGCAGGCGGTTATTCTCCCCTTCCTAGCAGCTACCCTTCGGACATCTACCCCCGTGATTCCAAGATCGCCCAAAATAAGGCCCGTAGGAACCTCCCGGAGGGGTATGTCCTTGAATACGACCCTAACTGGCCCAACATCATCGAGCCTCACCGGGATGATAGGGTAGGGTTCCATATTGTCTCCCTGGAGAGTGGCACTGTTTTCCCCCTTCGCCCCCTTCTGGTCGAGTTGTGCCACTGTTTCAAGATCCTCCCTGGGCAAATTACGCCCAATGCCCACCGTTTCCTTAACGCCTTCGTGAATATTTGTATAGAGCTTAAGATTGACCCTTCCCTCCGCTTGTTTCTCTACTTGTTTGAAGTCCTTCCTGGTAAGTCGGGTTGTGACGGTTACGTCTACTTCAAAGGCCGCAATGGTCGCCAATTTATTTCTGACCTTCCACAAAGCAATCGGCAGTGGAAGGAGAAATTTGTTTTTATAAAATTCCCCACCGCTTCTCCCTTGGTCGGCATCAAGTGGAATGACCACATACTCAAGTCCCAATACGCCGAGCCGGCTAGCGCTCCAGACTTAGAAGAAAGTTTGGAGAAACTTCTACAGGGGGACCCATTCACCGGGCAAATGTTCCACTACGGGGCCTGGATCTGGAGAATCCAACTGGGTGGTAAGGGTACCCCTCGGGCCCATGAGGCAGCGGGGCACGGGGTACCCTCCCCGGGCAACACTGCCGAGGCCGGGGGCCCAAGCCACCCAGGTATCTCTCATTCTTTCTCGTTCATTCTCACCGGTCAGAGTTCGTATACTCACAAGTCTTTGCATGTTTCTGTAGACATGAATTTCAGGGCCTACAACATGCCAAAGACTACCGGTGGATCTTCTTCAGCTGCCGCCAAAACCGGACCAGGACAACCAGAAACCGTCGAGATCCACGACGAGGAGGAAACTCCCCAGACCGGGGGGGCTGATCAGTCAGGAAGGCACCGGTGAACCCTTCTCCCAATAAGGGGAAGGGAAAGAAGAGGGTGAAGCACGCTGCCACCACCCATCCGTCCTCCAAGAAGAGAAGAGTGGAGCACTCCCCGGTCAGAGAATCCATGGGAGAGCTATGGGTCAAGATGACCCTCAAGTTGAAAGAGGTATCATTCTCCCGGTATGTTATTTTAACGGCTTGTCTGCTTATTTTTCTAACCGGTTCACTTTCCAACTCGCAGATGGGTGAGGTCGGCCCGGAAACTTTGGAAGATCTTGCAGTGGATTCCTCCCGGTCACACCAGCTGGAGGAGAAGCTGAAGAGGGTTGAAGCCCATAACCAGGAGCTTCAGGATTTGATAGCCCGGCAGCTTGAAGAGGTGACCAATCTTTCAACGATTGCCGAGGGAGCCAAGGCAGAGACCCTCCAGCTGAAGGAGGAGAACCTGAAGCTGATGGAGGACCTAGAGCAGAAGGAGAGGGAGTTTCCCAGCAAGGCCAGACAGTGGATGGAGGATAACCTGGTGGGGGCTGCCCGGGTGCTCACCTCTTCTGAAGAGAGGACGATGCAGGGCTTCAAGCTTCTGTACCGGGAGAAGCAAGGAAAAGAAATGATCACCCAAATTGGCTCCTACGGTTTTATGTCCGGCCAAAAACGTGACCGGGAGGCCACGCACGCGGTCCTTGCTGAACGTGACCCGGACTTTAGTGCTGAATCATACGGCCTGGCCCCTATCCCGGACGACGAGCCTGCACCTCCCTTCCCCTTGAATTGAACATCTCCCCGGCTGCGCCTGGTTATTTTTTGTAAACTTGAAACTGGAAATTTCCCCGGGGATGCCCGGCGTACTTGTAAACAATTAATTTTCTTGTTTTGTTTGAATGCAATGCTTAATTTCCGTGCCGGTTAACCTTCCATATCTGCTTGCACCATGATTGTTACCTTTTATTGCTTCTTAGAATACCATCATAGAAATTCCGACCGGTAGATATTTCAGGCCACTTTCCAATTGTTTTCGACCGGTAGAACTTCCAAGTTTTTCTTGATCACTTTACTTGAAAATTCAGCTCGAGTAACTTTGACCGGTTGAACTCCAACTTGGTGGTCAGTTTGAAGAATGATTGACCGGCTAGACTTCTTATTGGCTTTTGAACACCTTCGTTCTTGTTTTGGAAGTGAAGCAAAGTTTGACCGGTAGGTCCCTTCTCCACGGTCTGACCGGTGAACTGCTTCGCCTTGTGGAACTTTCGAAGTTCCTCTGTATCAATACCCAACCGGGGTATTTTTTTTTTAATGACCGGTAGGTTGTAGATAGAACACCTGTAACCTAGTAATTTCTTGAAGTATCCATAACCGGTAAGAATACTGGAGAATTAACCATGTTCGAATGGTTTCGAACCCTCTCCAAGGTTCAAATGCACCCTTCTTCCAGGGCCCCCTCTTCCGGGTGATTAAGTCTTTTAATGGCCCTTTGATTTCTACCATCCCGGGAAGGCCTTAGCTCACCCCCCGTTCAAGTCTTCCCTGAAAAGGGGGAAACAGGATGCGCCACGGTGGACGATCCCCTTCTATTTCTTTTAATGGGCATCTTTTAGTCCCCAATCAGTTTGACGGCGTTGGCTCATTCCCCAACACCGGTAAAACCTCATGGGCCCGTGTAAGTACGGTTCGAACCTTCTTCTAGGTCCAGCCCTCTTGCAGGCATACCCTCTTCCGGGCCCCTCTTCCGGGTTTTAAATTTTTTCTATTATACTGAGCAAGACCGGTGTAGTAACCAGCGTGCCAGGTCCGGGCCTGTGTCTCAGTTGGCTTATCCGAGTGGATCCGATCCACCCGGGAAGCCCTCCTAGGATAGGTTCGACCTATCAATTCTGCTGCTACCATGTAGAGTATTGAATGTCATCGGTTTGATTGTTAATAAAGTAGGCCTTGCCTAGTATTACAATCATTTGTAGAACTTGCGAAGATGATGGGAATTCCAGGTTCTATCTACCGGTACACCATCAAGAGTTTCTAACCGGTAGGTTCCCGGGCGAATGATAGCTCTCACCCGGTAGGGTCCTTCCCAGTTTTTGGCCAGCTTTCCTCCGTCTCCCGGTCTACTAGCCTCCCTTCTTCGCAGGACTTCATCGCCGACTTGAAAGTATCGCGGTCCAACCTTGTTGTCATGGTATTTCTTCACGACTTGTTGATATGTGCTCATTTTAACTTCCGCGGCCATTCTCCGTTCTTTGACCAAGTTGAGTTCGGCCAAGTGATCTTCCTCATTCTGCTGTGGTTGATAATTTGATTCCCAGAATGTTGGGAATTCGGCTTCGATGGGCAACCTTGCTTCACACCCATAGGTTAGGGAGAATGGAGTTTCCCCATGAGCCCTCCTGGGTGTTACTCGGAATGCCCATATGATGTGCGGAAGTTCTTCAAGCCATTTGTTTCCCGCTTCTCCCAGCCACTTCTTCAAACCATCCACAATTGTTCGGTTGGCATTTTCAACCTGGCCATTTCCTTGGGGGTATGCCACCGAAGAACGATTGTGTTTTATCCCGAAGCCCTCCAGGTATTCGGTGAATCTTGGATTTCGGAATTGCGGGCCGTTGTCGGTGATGAGGTTCATGGGAGCTCCAAACCTTGTGATGATGTTTTTCCAAATGAATTTCTTGCATTGTTGCATGGTAATATTGGCCAACGCCTCGGCTTCAATCCATTTGGTGAAGTAATCGATGGCCACGATTACAAATTTCTTCCTTCCTTGGGCGATTGGGAATGCCCCAATGATATCCACCCCGAATCTAGCGAAAGGGATGACGTTTGATACGGGGTGATAGTAGGTCGCCGGCCTACCGGGGTACTTGTAGAACACTTGGCACGTTCTGCACTTCTAGACGTACCTCTCGCAATCTTGGACAATTGTTGGCCAGTAATACCCCAACAAGATGATGCGCTGGGAAAGAGTGCGGGACATCTGATGCGCCGCGCATACACCTTCATGGACTTCTGCTATGACCCGTTCAGCCTTTCGGTTGGTTAGGCACCTCAGAAGGGGTCCCCTGAACGCCCTCTTGTACAGCTTTCCGTCAAGGACTTGGAACCAGGGTGCCCTGAGCTTCACTTTTCTTGCCCGGTCATCTTGTTCCGGCAAGGTCCCGTGCATCAGATACTCCATCAGATCACACATCCAGTGGTCATCCGTCCCGATCAAGTTTGACCGGTCAGATTGGGCTTCCCCTGTTATGGCAGCTACTTCCAGTTTCTCGATGCTGGCACGGCCTAGAATTTCCACCCGGGCAAGTTTTGAAACATGCTCGGGGGCATACTGCGTTAGTTTGGAGAGAAGGTCTGCATTTGCATTTTCTGCCCCGGGGATTTGGGCGATTTTGAATTCCTCGAAGTTTTTCAACAAGGCGAGCACCAGGTCCTTGTATTGCGCCATTCGTCCTTCTCTAGCCTCCATATTACCGGTCACTTGCCCAACAATCAGACTAGAGTCAGATTTGATACTGACCCGGCAGATTTTGAGAGCTTGAGCAAGTCTGAGCCCTCCAGCAAGAGCTTCGTATTCTGCCTCGTTGTTTGTCAGCTTGAAGTTGAAGATGATTGCATGGTAAATTTTGAAACCTTCCGGGGTAGTAAAGACTATACCACCCCTGTAACCTTTAGGACTGGACGCCCCGTCTACTGCCATCTCCCACCACTGCTCGGTAGGCTTGTCGACCGGTGCATCTGGAGTTACACCGGTCATTTCCACGAGGAAGTCCATAAGGGCTTGCCCTTTGATTGCTGATCTCGGCCGGTACTCAATGTTGAATTGAGTTAACATCATCGCCCACTTCACCATCCTCCCGGAGGATGTTGAATTTCGCAACACTGCACCCAGCGGTTGGTCAGTCAAGACTTCTACCAGGTGAGCTTGGAAGTAGGATGTTAACTTCTTTGCGGAGATGAAAAGCGCGTAGGCTGTTTTTTCCATCGTCGTGTATCTACTTTCAGCTCTGTTTAGTGCTTTGCTCACATAATAAATAGGCTTTTGTGCCCCATCATCTCTTATTAAAATAGAGCTTACAGCATTTGGGGAAATTCCCAGGTACAGATACAGAGTTTCACCCGGCTGGGGTTTAGACAATACAATATCCGACACTAGGTACTCTTTCAGCTCCTCGAATGCCCTCTGGCACTCCTCGTCCCATGCAAATGTATTGGCCTTCTTCAGGACTTTGAAGAAAGGCAGGGACCTTTCAGCTGACCGGGAAAGGAACCGGCTGAGTGCCGCTAGACGACCGGTCAACTTCTGGACATCCCTCACAGATGTGGGGGCCTGCATTTCAGTGATAGCCCGAATTTTTTCTGGGTTGGGCTCTATTCCTCTCCTGGTCACCATGAATCCCAAGAACTTCCCGGTACGAACTGCGAAGACGCATTTCTTAGGATTCAACCGTAGGTTGTATCTTGCCATGATATCAAATGTGGCGCGCATATCAGCCGGGTGGTTGAGGGATACCTGGCTTTTGATCAGCATGTCGTCGACGTACGCCTCCATGGTCTTTCCCAGCAGTGGCTTGAAGAGCTTGTTCACTATGCGCTGGTAGGTTGCCCCCGAGTTCTTCAAGCCAAACGCCATCACTCGGTAGCAGTATGTTCCTTCGGGGGTGAGGAATGACGTTTTCTCTTCATCCTCCTTGGCCATGTAGATTTGGTGGTAGCCCTTGAATGCATCCATGAAACTTAGGAGTTCGCATCCCGCAGTTTCGTCCACCATTTGATCTGGACTGGGAAGGGGGTATGAATCCATCGGACACGCCTTGTTCAAGTCCGTGTAGTCCACACACATTCTCCATGTGTCCCCCTTGGGAGCAAGAACCACGTTGACTTCCCGAATGTGACCAACACTGAGGAGATCCTTCACCTCCTTCTTGACGAAGTCCCGCCGGTCACTGGCCAGGTACCTTTTCTTCTGGCGTACCGGTTGACTTCCATCTCTCATTGCCAACTGGTGACAGATGATTGAGCGGTTGATTCCGGGTAGATCTGCCACGCTCCATGCAAATATGCCCGCGTATTCTCGGAGTACCCGCGTAATCTCCGCCTTGAGGTCTTCTGGGAGATTGGCTCCGATTCTGACCATCCTTGAAGGATCACCCAGGTGAAGTTCGATTTCCACTGTCTCGGCCTCGGGTTCAAGTTTCTCCCGGGTTTCTCCCTTGGTGATTTCTTGGGAGATGACGTTGACTCCCTTGGTCATCTTCTTGACCGCCCGAGCATAGCACTCACGGGCGTTCCTCTGGTCGCCCTTCACTTTACCCACACCACCTGGAGTGTGGAATTTCATGCATAGGTGAGGCATGGAAATCACCGCCCCGACCTTGTTGATGCCAGACCTTCCAAGGATTGCGTTGTGACGCATTTGATGTCCACGACGATGAACTGCATTTTCTTCCATACAGTCTTCTCGCCCGATCCTAGTTCGACCGGTAGAACTATGGACCCTTCAGCTTCCACCGTATCTCCCGTGAAGCCTGAGAGAGGGGTTTTGAGGGGTTCAAGTTGTGTCCGACACAACCTGAGTTTCTGGAAGGTCTCCAGGTAGAGGATGTTGACACTGCTGCCGGTGTCAACAAGTACCCGGGCGACGTCTACCCCGTTGATGTCCATGGTGATGACCAATGGATCATTGTGATCTTCACCGGTAGGAGGGAGGTCCCGGTCAGTGAAGACTATTGGCTCCCTCCTGGGATACTTACGCCTGGCCGGTTCAGCACTCACTTCACCAACGTAAATGCTGCGAACCCAGTTTTTTCGCTACGCGGCTGAATCTCCTCCTTCGGGTCCGCCAAAGATCATCCCAATATGCTCTTTGTCAGGGGCAGGCTGTTGCTCCCTCTGCCGGTTGTTCCTCCGCCGGTCCTTGTCCCGGTCGTTCTCCTAGGTTGCTGGTCTTACCCATTGATGGTTCTTCTCCTGGGCTTTCTGCAGGTAATCTTTGCCCAGTTCCCCGCTGTCTATCATCTGCCGGATCACTCCCTTAACACTCTTGCATTCGGAAGTGTTATGGGAATCTGACCTGTGATATGAACAATAGGTGCCCGACCACTGACACTCAGATTGACTGGTAGGATTGTCCGTAGGATTGACCAGTGCTTTCCTGATCTCCTGGCATTCTTCTGAATTGACCACTCGAACTACCGGGTCATAGTGGTGCCTTGGCCGGCTGGATACCGGCACTTCTTCCTTCTTGACTTGCACCGGCTTGGGCTTATAACCATGCTCGGCTTCTTTCTTCGCCCGGAGTTGAGTCTCAGCCTCGGCGAACTCCCATGCAGTATGGTACGCTTCTTGATACGTGGCCGGGGGTTTCCGGCAGAACTCCTTGTAAAGTTCCCCAGCTCGCAAACCACTCAGGAGGAGGGACAACACTGTCTTGTCATCCATCTCCTCAACCTTGCCTACCTCCTCCTTCCACCGGGTAAGGAATTGGGTGAGGTTCTCAGATTCCCTCTGCCCGGCTGTATTAAGATAGGTGAATTTCTTCCTCTTGGTACAGTTCTCCTGGAACTTGGCCTTGAACTTCGAGGCCAAGTCGCTGAATGAGTCAATGCTTCCCGGGCGAAGCTTGTTGAACCACTCGGTGGCTCGATTCCGCAAGGTCTGGAAGAAAAGGAGGCACTTTTCTTCATCTGTGCAACCGTTCATGGTTGCACTCTGATTGAAGGAGTCCAGGTGGATTTCTGGGTCCTCCTTACCGGTGAACCTTGGGGCGTCTATCTTAACCTTTNCTCAGGAGGAGGGACAACACTGTCTTGTCATCCATCTCCTCAACCTTGTCTACCTCCTCCTTCCACCGGGTAAGGAATTGGGTGAGGTTCTCAGATTCCCTCTGCCCGGCTGTACTAAGATAGGTGAATTTCTTCCTCTTGGTACAGTTCTCCTGGAACTTGGCCTTGAACTTCGAGGCCAAGTCGCTGAATGAGTCAATGCTTCCCGGGCGAAGCTTGTTGAACCACTCGGTGGCTCGATTCCGCAAGGTCTGGAAGAAAAGGAGGCACTTTTCTTCATCTGTGCAACCGTTCATGGTTGCACTCTGATTGAAGGAGTCCAGGTGGATTTCTGGGTCCTCCTTACCGGTGAACCTTGGGGCGTCTATCTTAACCTTTTGCGGGAAAGGTGTCAGATGGACCCTTGTAGTGAACGGGGACCCCGCGAGGGGTTTGTCCCGGTCATTCTTCTCCCCAACCTTCTTCTCCAGCCTCTCCAATTTGCCTCCATCTGTTGGACGCGATCATTGGGGGTGGTTAACCGATTAGCCACTGGCACCCTAGGCTGGCTTTCTGCTTCTTCTTCCTGGCGAGAGGCCCTCGTCCTGGCTGGCTCCTGCCGGTTTGACCGGGAGCGTTGGGTGCGGGCAGGCTCGGCCTCCCTCATCTCACCTAACCGGGCGAACGCGCTGACATGGGCCAAGCTCTACCCCAGCCTCAGCTTGGCTGATTTTCTCTGGCCCTCCTCCCTATCCCCCAGCCTTTCGAAGGCGGAGTTTCGGGAGGTGGCGGGTCGGATGGTTTTTCCCTTCTTTTTCTTGTGGGTCCTTGGAATGTCCCACTCGTCGTCTCCGCTTTCAACCGAGACGTAGTGACCATTCGGAGTGATTAGCGGATTCGTACCTTGCGGGGGACGCGATGGCCCTGCGGCGTTAAGCGCACGAGTCAAGTTGATGGGGGCCACAGCGCTGACTAGCTGCGGCTGGAAAGGTGATGGTTGCAGCACTGGCGTTTGGAAGGGAGACACCGCCATTGGAGCTTGTACGGGCATGGTTCCCGTGCCTGGAAGAGCGAACGGGAACATACCAGGGAGGAAAGGCATCCCCCCATTCTGTTGGCACATAGCCATGACCTGGCCAAAGCCTTGGATGGCCTGCAGGTTGGCTGGGTCATTCATGAACTGAGTCATGCTTGGTGGGAAAGTGACCCTCGGTCCAGCGGAAGGGACGGGGGCCGTGAATGGGCTTACCATGCTGGGTGTTGGGACCGAGCTTGGTCCCAACGGCAAAACAGCCATGGGGATGCTGGTACCTTCAACGGTGGCTTGCACCTGAGCAGTGGTGGCGTTGATATGCTGGCTCGAAGACATTTTGAGTGGTGTTTTTTTGGGTAGGTTTGTATTTAGAAGAGAGGAAACCTTAACGGTCCCACGGTCGGCGCCAAAAATGATGGTGTAAATTACTTGACCGGTCAAACTACACTAGACCGGGTTGATTCAGTAAAGTAAAAAAAGTAGAAACACTCAGAATGACCGGTAGGACTTTAGGTGGAACACCTGTAGCCCGAATTATATTAAAAACAGAGAATGCACGGTCACTTTTACAAGGGAGTTTAGAGAGAATGAATTCGGATCCCTCTTTCTGAGGTTTACATGCGTATTTATACTAGGCTGAAGGGGGGCAAGACCACGTGCACCCACGTGGGATCACGCTGCCGCAGGTGGGAGGTGACTGCTTCTGAGCTGCCTTGTCCTCTCGCGGAGGGGGCTGCGCCTTCGTCGTGTTCTGGTTTGGAAAGATGCCTTCAGCATCTCTGCAATTCCAACCACTATAGTCCAAATCCTTTTGGATTCCTCCTTCCGACACTCTCCAATCTTCGGAAACTAGACCGGGTGATCTTTGAGGGTTGGTTTGACTAACTTCGGAGGATGAATTTGGGCGATGGAATAGTTTGACCGGTATACTAACCCGAAGTGTACCGGTCAACTTTCAGGGCAACCAGCCATCCCTTTGCTGACGATTCAGATCTCCCTTTCAAGTTTGACTTCTTTGACCGGTCAACTTTCTGATTCGGATCCTTGACCGGTCATGGGTGAAATACACCCATCAGATACAACTTAGTTTTTTTTATTTATAAGTAATTTGGACCAACTTATAAACATAGAAAAACACAAGGAGTGTGAGACAATTGATTCAGAAGGATAATTAGAAATCATCCTAAATAGGACTAAAACATAGATAAAAGTACCAAAATAAGACTTTCATGTTTTTTTTCCCGGAATAGGACTTTGCACTGTGGTAATGTGACCTTGCATTGTGGTAATGTGGCAGTGTACATGTGCAAATTACTATGCTTTTTGGTAATGTATATGACCACGGTTCGTAATGTAAGTTCTATTTAGGGAATTAAAACATGGAAGTCCTATTTTGGTATATTTTCAAAGTTTTAATCCTACTTTGGTCTTTCTCCCAAAGATAATCTAATTCCCAATAAAAATAGCATTAAGAAATGAGAAATATGTTTAATAAAAAAATTGTATACACCATGGCTATACCACAATTTGCACACCAAATGTATGCAGAGGCATTTATTCTATATATGTCTCTTATATGACTGGTGTGCAAATCATGGTATAAACTTGATGTACTACAAGTATACAAACACCAAGACTAAGATCCGGTGGATGAGCTCAGCAATCCGTTTTTTCTTTCGGCCATTTATGAAGGAAAAGGATTAGTTTGATAAAAACCGGTGAGGGAATTGAAGGAGGAAATAAACAAACAGAATAATAGTTGGCCTTCTTTCACCTCCGACAGTCTCCGCCGTACTCCCTGAAGGTTTATACTCCGTACTTTCTTTTCTCTTCTAGTTCAAGAAAAACGATTGCATTTTTTGAAAAAAAAAAGGTGGACCCACCCCCACATCTCGACCTGACAAGATGCATGGTTATGGGATAAATCATGATATAATTTCAATATACTCCCTCCGTTCAAAAAAGAACTTCCCGGTTTGACCGGGCACGCATATTAATGTGTGATAAAATTTGCTTTGACTTTCCTATTTTACCCCTGCAACCTTCCATCTTCCAATCTACCCATACGCAATCTCTGATTGCCAACACCACCGCCGGCAATTCTCGACCACCGCCGGCGATTCTCTACCACCGCCGCCGCCGACTCTCTAGCACCGTCGGATGACTCCTATGGTTCTTCTTGCCGCCTTCCCTTCCATATCCCCCTCCCTCGTAGATCTAATCTCTTCCATCCGAGGTTTTGACGGCTTGAGGCAAGGCTAGGAGTAACAAAAGCTTTATGCATCTATGAAATCGATGGCGACTATGACGAAAAAGGAGCAGATCTAACCATGGTTCTTCTTGCCCGCCTCTCTCTGGTTCACGTATGTACCATGGGATTTCATAGATCTGCTCTTCCATCTCTGGTTCTTCTTGCCCGCCTCTCTCTGTCGCTGCTTCCAATCATTGGGTGACGGAACAAAATCAAAACAGGGAGGAAAAGGAATTAAAGAAGAAAAGAGAAGAAGAAGAAGAAAGGAAAAGAATGAAGAAGAGAGAAGAAGAAGAAGAAAGGAAAAGAATGAAGAAGAGAAGAAAAGAAAGAAAGAAGAGAGAAAAAATCGATGTGTGGCTGTGGCTGCGGCCTGTGGGTGATTTCAGAAGGGAGAGGAAAAAAGAAAAAAAAGAGAAAAAGAGAAGAAGGGATGGGTGAGAAGTGGCGAGGAAGAAAGAAAAAAAAGAAAAGAAAGAGACTGGAGGGTGTGGGCAATTAAGTCTTTTCACATGAAAAAAGTTTCCAAAAAAGGAAATGGGAAGTTTATTTGTGGACGGACGAAAAAGGAAAGTGTGAAGTTTATTTATGGACGGAGGGAGTAGTCTTTACAGAAGTCGTCACGTGCTCAGCTCGGTGCGCACAAGGAACTATTACAAAGAATATAACTGTCACACTACGGCTGTTAGGATTCGACTTCAGGATCTATGATCTTGACATTCTCTCTATAGACCAAATGAGCTACCCATGCGGGAGCGTTTGCATTTCTAAAATTGGGAGGAGGAGATTCAATATTTGGGTTGATTAAAATTGGCTACTCGAGAATGGGAATATTTTTCCCAAGAACCTAATTGGACCTTCACAATCGAAATCTTATATTAGGCTCCAAGATCTTTTGCATTCCAAGAGATCTCTTGAAGTCCATCAATGGCATTGGCATCCGTGAAATCCATGATTTAGCATTAAATACTCCTACTGTCCCCAATTAGATTACAATTTTTTTTCTCTCCTCTGGATAACTTTTGTTCGTTTACGCGATTTCATTAAGTGTTTGATAAAATAAAATATTCTTGTCACCTCTTGTTTGGTAGAACTTTTGACATAGTTTTTAAATATGTAACTTTTATTTCTTATCGATATACCGATTTGTAGATAAGATGATTTCAAAAAGTAAGATATTTCTTCTCGTAAACCCCAATTTGTAATCAAATTGGGGACGGATGGAATAAATAAATAAACCCTTTTCTGCAGATCAACTACTCTTTTGAATATAAATACCTTTTGCTTGAGTTGGTTTCCTCAATCCTCATATCGAAAATTTCATGACCATGAAGTCACGACTCACGAGTTCAAAATTTACTTGTAACGCCAAAAAATATGACCTAAAATCTATTATATAATAAAAGTATTTTTGAATAATATTTTAGTCTAATAAAGATTTTTTATACATTTGACTAAAAGATGAAGCGATTTTTGAATTTATATTATTTTGTTAAAAGTAATCTTTATGGATGTCTCAATGAGACGAATTCAATGGTATACTTTAAAAACCAATCTAATTTATAGATTTTGAGTTATGAAAACTTTAAAATATTAAAATTATGTAACTTAGACATATTAAAATTATGCTCATAAAAAGTGAAGGGTAGTTTTATAATTAATTGGGTCAAAACGGAAAAAGAAAAAATTATTTTAAAAATAAATTGATAAGACTTGCTTTTTTGACTTATAAGTAATTTTGACCAATTTATAAATATAAAAAAATCACTTTCTGAAAAGAAGAGTGAGACAATTAATTCAAAAAGATACTCTAATTCCGAAATAAAAATGACAATAAAAAGTGAGTTATGTTTAGCAAAAAAATTGGACACGTATGGTTGTTCCATGATTTGCACACGAGGTGTGTGCACAAACATCTTTTTATATATGTCTGTCATACGTCTCGTGTGCAAATCATGGTACAAAACTTGGTCTACTCCAAGTTTACACATTGTGGGGCTGAGCTCAGCAATCGGTTGTTTCTGTCGGCCATTTATGAAGGAAAAAGAATAGTTTGATATAAATCGGTGAGGGAATTGAAGGAGGAAATAAACAAACAGAATAATATTTGGCCTTCTTCCACCTCCGACAGTCTCCGCCGTTCTCCGCTAGAAGGTTTATACTTTCTTTCTCTTCTAACTTCAACAAAAAACGTTTGCATTTGTGCAATTGGGAGGAGGAAATTCAGTTATTTAATTGGTTTGATTAAAACTGAACCTAATCATTTAGCATTAAATAGGAGTAAATAAAAAATATTGTTGTTGTTGTTATATACGAGTATTCATAATGGTCGTTATTCTAAACATTTGCTACTTTCACAATCATCTTTATCCTAAAATGTCAGAATTTATACAAAAAAACATTTGCTACTTTAACAAAATAAAATTTAATTAATATTATAAAGTTAATATAAAATTTAAAAATTTTAAATTTTAAAAAGTTACTACGGGTACTTAATAGTCACTCCTCAATTTATTTATGCAGTATCCATCTGATACGTTTCGTACCACCTGGAGAAAGCTTAGAGCGCCTCCAAGCTCATGCACAGGGAGGAAGACGAGGAGGGAAGGGAAAGAACGTAGGGAGAGAGGAGAAAGAGAACGCACGCAGTCGTGCGACCTCAAGAGACGGGAGGAGCTAGGGTTTTAGATTGTTTCTTATTCCTCCCAAGGTGACGCATACAACCCCTTTTTAAGAGAGGGAGAAACCCTAATTCTAAAGTCTATGTTATCTATCCTGACGGTTCAAAGAAAAGCGACGAGGTAAAGAACCGTAAAGAAACCGTCGAAGGAGCTTATAGTTTCGCTCACCTAATAAAATCTAAAGTATAATTGTTAAATAGAATAATAATGCAACTAAAGTACTAATGCATATCAAACGCCTCCTGCTACTTCGGAACACACCGAAGTCTCCTGCTTCTACGAACATCTTGAACAATCCTCGTTTGGGCCCGTTCTTCTGACACATGCGTCCTCCGTGGTACCTCTTGGCCCGTAACACTCTCTCTATCTTCAAGCACCACCTTGTCCTCAAGGTGTAATTTGGGATAATGCGCCTGGGTAATTCGGGATAATGCGCCTGGATAATACAGGTTGGTTCCCATGTGGCATCGTCCAAGGTGCTATCGTTCCAACTGACAAAAACTTGATCCTCCAAAACTCCATTACGCAATACGCGGCGCCTGGCATGAATCCCCACGGGTGAAGACGGCGGTTGTCCCTGGACTAAAGTGTCGGGTACTCGGGTAGAGGAAGAATATGGACAGCGGGGTTGGGTCCTCGAAATGGCCGTAAAACCGACACATGAAAGACTGGGTGGATCCGGGACGTGTCGGGTAAGAATAATTATGGTAAGAATAATTATTTTACTCTTACCAAATTTTAATTTCGATTTGCACACCGAAATTCATAAATTATATGTTGCATCAACCAAGTTTTTGTACAATAACATATACTATAAATATGCTACTTTACCGGGCCAAGGAAGTAAGATTAATCAACGAGTGTTTTAATTCGGTGCTTCACTATCGTTTTTTGTACGAACATAGGGATCATTACCGCCTTAAAAAATGTTGATGAGAGGTCTGGATTATTGATGATGAAACTAAGAGCGGTAAGAGTTTATCACGTTCCTGCTCATTCTCGAGGGCCGGAATCATTGGATATTGTTTTTCACGACTCAGAGGTTAGTTCTACATTATTTTATATTTTGCATATAATAAATATTTTAAAAAAATATAAATTTATTTATATGTAGACGTTTTATATTTGTTGTTACGATCATTTAATGATGAAGCTACGAGCAGTTAGGGTTTATCACAGGTTTTCGTAACAATAATCCAAAATATTTTAGTCATGGACAACTCTATGTTGCAATTTCAAGAGTAACTAATCGTAGTAGGTTAAAGATTCTGATATGCAATGAAGACAATATTCCCACAAATTGTACAAATAATGTAGCCTATAAAGAAGTCTTTCAAAATTTGTAAAGCAGTGATGTTTTGTACCTTAAAATAATATAATCTCTATATTCTATATTTCTATGTAATTGTACCTTAAAATAATATAATCTCTATATTCTATGTAATATCATTTTTTATCATTGAAAAATGATTTGAATTTAATAACATAAAAATGATCCGTGCAACGCACGGGTGTGATGCTAGTTTTTTTAACTTATAAATAGCTTATAAGACATTTTATAAGCACAATAAATATGTTAGCATATGACTTAATTACCAGTTAAAAACAACTTATAAGAAGATTTAATTAAATTATAAACACAGAGAATTAAAAAAGAAAGTAAGACAATTAATTAGGAAAGAAGAAAGTATGATACTCTATTTCCCAAATAAAAATAATGGTGAAATTTGCACTAAATAGGACTAAAACATAAGTCATTTTCCAATGTATGATTTGAACTTTTTTATTCTCTGAATAGTACTTAATAATGTCTAGTCAGAGAAACAATGTCCAGTAATGATAGACATTTACTTGAATAATGACTAATGGATAATGGTCAATGATCTTTCATTGAGAAATATGAACATATGATCATATATTGAGAAAGTCATTATATGTTAGTCAGGTAAATTCCCCAAAAAGTGAAGGCAAGAAGTGATCTATGTGAAATAACAAAATTGGATGCACTAAGTTCGTACCACGATCTACACACCAAGTGTATGCACATTCACTTTGTCTATATATATCTATTATACGCCTAGTGTGTAAGTTGTGAGATAAGCTTGTGTAGTAAATTATACAAACACCAACACTAGGATTCGGGGGTTGAGCTCAGCAACCGGTTGGAGATGTTCATAAAAAGTGAAGTGTAGTTTTATACGGAGTAATTAATTGGATCAAAATGGAAAAAGAAAAAAATTAATTTAAAAATAAATTGATAAGACTTGTATTTTGACTCATAAGTAATTTTGACCAACATATAAATATAAAAAAATTACTTTCTGAAGACGAGAGTAAATTACTTTTTGAGAAGGAGAGTGAGACAAATAATTTGAAAAAAATACTCTAATTCTGAAATAAAAATAACACTAAAAAGTGAGAGTTATGTTTAACAAAAAAGTTAGACACACTATGGTTGTTCCATGACTCGCACACTAAGTGTGTGCACAAACATCTTTTA